GGAAAGCAACTGAGGACGGCCCAAAGCCTTGGGATCTTGCACCCACGTGGGAGACCTGGAAGAGGCTCAAGGCTCCTGGCTTCAGATCGCTCAGTACCACGCTTTCCAAGTCACTTGGGGAGTGAATCATCAGACAGAAAATATCCTCTCTCTCTCTTCTCCTCTGTGCATATTTGACTTTACAATAAAAATAAATAAATCTTTAAAAAAAAAATAAAAGGATTTCTTTAATTTTGGGCCCAGCACAATAGCCTAGTCGCTAAAGTGCTAGCCTTGCATGCACCAAGATTCTATATGAGCACTGGGTTCACGTCCCAGCTGCTCCACATCCCATCCTGCTCCCTGCTTGTGGCCTGGGCAAGCAGTCAAAAATGCCCGCACCCTTGGGACCTGCACCCATGTGGGAGATCTTTAAGAAGCTCCCTCCCGGCTTCAGAATGGCTCAGCCCTGGCCGTTTTAGCCACGTGGGGAGTGAACCAGCAGACAGAAGAGCTTTCTCTCTGTCTCTCCTTCCCTCCGTATATCTGACTTGAATAACACTTCCTAAACTATAATAAACTCATAGATAGATAAAACTTTAACACTGGGGCTCCTTTTCTCGTCCCAGGGAAGAATCCTTCGGGTGGCAGCGGTGGGGCAGACACCATCCTGAGGGGAAAAGCTGCAGCTCAGCCTTCCACCGAAGCCTGGCCTGGGGGCACAGGCCAGCGCGTCCACCAGCTCTCACTGCATACAAACACCACCCTGTACCCCACCAACACGTACCAGCATTACGAGAAGAACAAAGGACGGACGGAAGACCACCAGCCCCTTGGACAGAAGTGGAGCAGGCCTTGCAGGACAGCGTGAACCGAGGCACCTGTGCCCACTATACCCAGAGACCACACTGAGTGCCAGGCATCAGGCTTTCCTCTCATCCCTGCACCAAGGACCCCAGCCTTCCCAGACAACACAAAGGCCCAAGACATGGCCTGCCCTCGTGGCTCCCAGGCCAGGGCAAAGCCACCACCTGCACTTCCCCATCCCAAACAGAGCACCAAGCCGCCACCTGTCTCCTGGAACCCGTGCCTAGGGCCAAGCTACTTCATGCCTTTCATGGACCGCGCCAATCACCAAGCTGCCACCAGCCCTCCCAAACAATGCACAAAGGGTCAAGACACGGCCTCGCCTCCTGGACCCTGCACCTTGGGAAAAGCCACTGCCTCCTGGACCCGCATGAGGCAAGGCCCCCCTGCACCTGCCTGGCCAAGCACTGCACCTTGGGACAAGACAGCAGCTGCAGCTGCCTAACGACACCATGGAGGCCAAGCGGCCTGCGCTCACAAACACCGCCGAGAATCAAGACACCACCTGCCCTCAAGGACCCCGTGCCAATGACCACAACACCGGAGGCGCTCCTGGACCCCGCACCCAGGGCCAAGCCGAGGCCAGCCTTCCTGGACCCCGCACCAGCAAACCAAACCACCGCCTCCGACCATGCACAGAAAGCAAACTGCCACCTCCCACCAGGACGGACCCAGTGCTGATGGCTAAGCCGCTGCCTAAGCTTCCAACCCCTTGCTGAAGATCAAGCTGCCGCCTGGCTTCCAGGAACCCACACTCAGGGCTAAGCCGCGGCCCATCCTCCTAAATGCCGCACCAAGGCAAGCGGCCACCTCCCCCTGCACGCCTGCTGAAGGCCAAGCCGCCCCCTCCCCAGCTGGACCCGCACCCACGGACAAGCCGCCCCCACCCCAGCTGGACCCGCACCCAAGGACAAGGCACCACCTGCACTCCTGGACACACACTAGGCCAAGCGCCCCTCCCTTCCCGCACCCCTGTACCTCGGGGGTCTTACCTTGTACATGTCCCTTTGGGTCTGTGGACTCCTCCAGCGACGCCCAAAGACCAGGCACTCTGGGGGCGGCACCAACTCCACCTCGTGCACACGCCGGGCCCACGTCCACCATGGCGCCCACCGCGAGGCCCTCCCCCGGCGGGGTGCAGGTGGACAGCGGGTGGGACGAGGGCTAGCCGGAGTCCATGAGCCCCGTCACGTCCACTCACGGGGCCCGCAGCGCGTCTTCCAGCAGAACTGCTCCCCACGGAGAGTCCAGCCACGCGTCCTCTTCCTCTGCTGCTTCTTCGCTGACTGAGGGTGCGGGGCCGCAGCGCCTCACAGGAAGTGACCGTGCGGCCAATCCCTCCGCGTCAGCACCACGCAGGATTCCTCCGCCGTCGGGGACCCTTTTCTTCCTCCTCCTGGACCCATGGCGGCTATGCCTGCCCTCCTGGCCAGGGTGAGTTCTGCTGGACGGGGCCTGGGGCTCCTTGCAGCGCTGGGGCCTGGGGCTCCTTGCAGGAACGGGGCCTGGGGCTCCTTGCAGCGCTGGGGCCTGGGGCTCCTTGCAGGGAAGGGGCCTGGGGCTCCTTGCAGTGCTGGGGCCTGGGGCTCCTTGCAGGGAAGGGGCCTGGGGCTCCTTGCAGGGCTGGGGCCTGGGGCTCCTTGCAGTGCTGGGGCCTGGGGCTCCTTGCAGCGCTGGCCTTCCTGTTCTTGATCTGGGATGTTCCTGGGCACTTGTGCTGGTCGCTTGGGGGCTTCAGTCTTGGTCTCTGTGGTCAGTGCCACCCTGGCTGCCTCTCTCAGCCCTGGACATTCCCAGGTCATATCCATGTCCTCCTAGTCTTTCTGTCACTCATGGTTTCAGCAGCACCTGAATCTGGGAGGTTACACCTGCTACTTCAAACTGTGTTGTTTCTCTTCCATTTTTTCCTCCTCTGCCCTAATTGGTAATTGGGTAACTGTTGGTCTTTTGGTCTTGGATCCAAAGAAGTCATGTCTGGTTTATACCAATTCTTCTTCAGATGAGTAGGGAGACTTCTTGGAAACAGAAGCAAGGAATTGTATTCCTTTTCCTTTTTTCGTGGGAGAGAAGAGCAAGGAATTCCTTGCATTTCTGATCAGACTTCCCTTTATTTTTTGTGGCAGAGCCTTCTGCTGTGCTTCTGTGGCTTCCACCAAGGTGCTTGTTACAATGCGGGTCACTACCCTCCCGGTACTGTGAATACTGGAAGAGGGGCTGAAGCGTGTTCCCTGGTGGATGCAGAGCCACAGAACGGCACGCCTCATCAAGCAGTGCTACACTCTTTCTTGCCCCACCCACAGTCCATGGGGTGATAAACCATGAAGCCACACAGGCCAGTCGCCTTGTTCCTTTTGCCTCTCCCAGGGCTGTGTATAACATCAACCCACCAGCACTGGCAGTTCTCTGATTTCTCTGTTGACGCCCCTGACTGCTCAAGTGCACCTCGGGACTGTTCCTGCTGCTGGCAGCCACCCTGCCTCCAGCAGGAACTCCTTGTCTTTGCCGTGTAGCCTTCACTCCCTTTTCTACCTTGCTCCTTCTCTGGGTGTTGGAATCCATGCCGCAGGGTCCTAATGCCCACTGATGCAAACACATTGGGCTTGCACTGTGGCTCACTCGCCAGGATTTAGGTAACTGGCCCAGATCCACCCTTAGCTCTCAGCATCCCCCTCTCCTGGTATCCCTCAGGGGTTTAGGGTGTGGAATGGATTCTGCTTTCATTTCCCAGGTCCCTCCCTCAGCTGGCTCACTCCCAATAGCATGGCTGCCCTCCTCTGGGGATGATTGATTGGCAGCCCATTGCATCCCATTCCATTTTAATAACCTCCCTTCCCAGATGCTGAGGTCAGTGTTTTGCCTTATGGGTTTTTGCCACTTGCTGTTTCTTTAGGAGGCTCCCACAGGAGTCTGCCTGCTCCAGTTCCCTTTGTGCTGGCTCTAAATCCACTTTGCTTTTGTCTGCAGGTTGGGTGTCTTCCTGTAGTGCTCGCCTTCCCCTTGGGCTACTGGCTGCAACCATGGCGCTTTCAGCCCTGCTCATGTAGGATTGGCAGGTCACTCTTCCCAGCTGCAAGGAATGATATCTTAGTTCACACACACACACACACACACACACACACACACACATACACATCACCAACACAGCAATCACCAAGTTTTCCCCGTTTTGCCAGAAATTCCTAGTTTTAATGTGGAAAACTCTCCAAGTGCTTGGGAAAGCAGTCGAGGACGGCCCAAAGCCTTGGGACCCTGCACCCGCATGGGAGACCTGGAAGAAGTTCCTGGCTCCTGGCTTTGGCTCGGTGCAGCACTGGCCATTGCACTCACTTAGGGAGTGAATCATTGGGCAGAAGATCTTCCTCTCTGTCTCTCCTCCTCTCTGTATATCCACCTTTCCAATAAAAATAAATAAATCTTTAAAAAAAAAAAAAAGGAAGGGATTCTACCACTTACAACAAAATGGTCCCAACTAGAGACCATTATGCTCAGTAAAATAAGCCAATTCCAAAAGGACCAATATTATATGTTTCCTCTGATATAACTCTTCCTTCATGCAAAATATAGGATCAATATTCTATATGTGTATGTGTGCGTGTGTATGTGTGTGTACACATGTATGTTCAAATATCCATCTAGAGCAACTCTATAATAGAGATAGCATACCGAGAAGTGAAGATAAATTGCAGGATACAACTCTACCCCTCCATATAAGATGGATTCCCAACAAAGCTGTGAAATGTATCTTGACAATACAATGCTGAACTTTCTACTATTTTCTATACCTACAAATTCAGGATATATTTAAATAGCAAAAGGATGGACTTGTTACTATTTTTGAAGGCCTACTATAATAATAATGGGCAATTTGGTGTCGTGGGAGAGGAAATGTGGAGTGGTAAAGGAGAAATCCTGAGGCTACAGAACTTTATCATTTAAAAAAAAAAAAGAAAATTAAAAAGAACCCTGGCAACGGGGTCTCTCTCTCTCTCTCTCTCTCTTCCTGGGAATGTAGAGGAGGTAGAACATGAGACCATTCTCACCCGCTTCCCCTTCCTTGCCCACACTCTAAGTCCCATGTGTGTGATTTCCTCATTGTTTTAACCAACTTTATCACTTTCTAAACCATAAAAAATAACCACCATCGAACTGCAAACTCCTTTTGAGGAAAAGTACTTTATTCATTATTCTTCCCAGCACAATATATCACAGAAATTATCCATGTATTTTTGCCACACAAATGAATAAGAATTATAACAACAGCTGAAATTATGGAATCAATTATAGTTACAAAACTAATAAATTATATAGAGACTGACAATCATTCAGGTCACAAGAGTATGCTCACACTCCTTTTAAACTTTGAAATACTCCGTACCACTGCTCCCTGTCACCCAAATAGCTCCCAGTGCTAGTGCTGTCCTCCAAGGAGCACCTGGATCCCACCATCTCCCACCTAGTGCCTCAGTTCAACCATGTGACCAGAGACCCCTGGAGAGAGCACCCACTGTGACAGATCAGGGCCTGTGCAGTCTTGTTAAATACTTAGTAACCGTATTAACCCATTCTGTGTTGCTATACCCAAAGTACCCAAGGCTGGGTATTTTATAAAGATGCTTAATTATCTGGTTCACAATTTTGATGGCTGGAGGATTCAACCACTCTAACCATCCTGGTCAGGGCCCTCCAGCTGCAGAAGAATGTGGCAGAAGAGAAGGGAACCATCCATTCATAAGAGGAGGAATCACACGGAGCTCATTGCCTCTTGCTGGGACCCATCTCTTGAAGATACCATCCATTCAACACAGGCACACTGAAGACCAAGCCTCTAGCATAAGAACCTGAGGGGAAACATCACATCCTCACCCCTGCTTGAACACAAGGTCTAATGACATAGGGTGACAATGATGCATCTCGTTGTACAGTCTTTCAAGCAGCAGTTTTCAGGGACAGAAAACAGAAATGATATTTGGATGGTTTCTGAAAGTTGAGGATGCATTCACTAGCTCTCAACCTTCATGTAAACCAGAAGAAACGCGGTTTCGCGCCTAGAAAGAAGGGACAATGCATTAGCATTGTAACATGAAACATTGTCCACAGTGAGACGACACATGATTAATTCATGATGGGAGGAATATCAGCAAGCTTCTGGATTCATCCATCCTTCACTATCTAGTCCTCAGAGAGGAACAAAATGATCACCTGGGAAAACAATACTAGGTTGCAACCAGTTAACATCTCAATCCAGGCTTGATGAACAGTGGGGCCCATGAGGCAAGTCCAACTCTGCCTCTGCATGTCAATTTAATTAGAACACAACCATTCTTTTTTTATCCATGTGCTGGTTACACATGCTTTGGGTGTAAGGGCACAGAACTGAGTCATTCCAACAGAGACATACAGCACACAATGTCTAAAATATTTCTCTGTCCCTTTACAAAGTTTCCCAACCTCTGGCCAAAATCACAGGAGAAGGAATGACACAAATAATGGACAAAACATTGAACAGCTAGGAAGAAGCTTAATAGAAACAGAAGAGGAAAGTGGAAAGTAAAAGATTGGGGAGGGTTTCAAACTCAAATTCCATCTAGTTCACTGTTTTTCAAATGATCATATCTGCCTCAGCAGCTGACAATGGTCTCAGTTATTGCCCGTGACACACACACATCACTCCTAATACAGAAGCTCAACAGAAAAGCTAACGGAGTCCCTCTGTTTTAACTTTATCCAGCTTTTTATTATTATTATTATTATTTAATTTTTAATTTTATGGTACAATTACATAGGGTCTGAGAGTCCCTCTCCCAAATTCCCATCCCCCTGGACTGATTTTCCCCCAATTGTTACAACAGTATAGTCCTTCATAACAAGTTATAATTCCATTAGTTATTTAAGTGTGCCCTGACACTGTCTCCAGTGCTTTTTTCTCTCCAGTTCCCACACCAGTTATTGATTTGTAAAATTATTTTCAACACTTAACTCAATGTAAGTCATTGTGCCAAAAGCCAATGAAACTGTTTATACTTCCCCATATCAAATTCATGATCAAATGTGAAAGAAAGTTATATTAGTGAACAAATAACTAAATACTAATAGATATGCTATTATCCTTGCTGGGGAAAGTACGCTTAAAAAGCAATGGAAGGGCCTGGCAGCATGACCTAGCAACTAAAGTCCTCACCTTGAACATGCCAGGATCCCATATGGGCGCCGGTTTTAATCCTGGCAGCCCTGCTTCCCATCCAGCTCCCTGCTTGTGGCCTGGGAAAGCAGTCGAGGACGGCCCAAAGCCTTGGGACCCTGCACCCGCGTGGGAGACCTAGAAGAGGTTCCTGGTTCCTGGCTTCGGATCGGCACAGCACTGGCCATTGCACTCACTTGGGGAGTGAATCATCGGACAGAAGATCTTCCTCCCTGTCTCTCCTCCTCTCTGTATATCCACCTTGCCAATAAAAATAAATAAATCTTTTTTAAAACAAAAAAGCAATGGAAGCTCACAAAAATGTCTCTGCAGAGCTGCTTGGGTGGGGTGCGTCTATATCTTCCCTTCAGTGGGAAAGTGCCATGCCTACGCGAGCGACACTTTGCTTACATAGCCAATTAGGGGAGGGATGGAGGAAGTGGTGTTTAAGACTCTCTCTCTAGTTTTATGGTACGATTCCATAGGATGTGAGATTTATTCCATAGGATCTGAGATTTCCCCACCCCTGTAACTTCCCTCTCTTGTAGCACTGCTGGTATCTACACTGAAAGAAGATCTCTAGGCGGATTTTTGAAAGACGAGGCTCCACAGTCACTAGGACATCATCAACGTTTCACCCAGTTCCAAGAACCCCGTCCCCGTAAAGTTCAAAACGTTTCCATCACCTCACACCCCTCTTACCAACGGTCATTATGATTTCCAAAGGTACACTGGACGTCTTCCCAGGATACCTAAAGTGTGTAAATAAACAGATTGCAGTCAAGCATCCCCCTGAATGTGTGGTACTGTAATTTGCCCTACCCCTAGCAACTCCCAAGCTTGGAGCATCTAAGTCACATATACAAAAGCACTTTAATATCTCCATTGCTTTGTGGAAACTTGGTTATGTTTGGGACAGATGTTCAGCCTATGTTGCTTTAAATGCCTGTGTCCCGTGTTGCAGTGCCTGGGTGTGAGTCCCAATTCCAGCTCCTGACTCCAGCTTCTTGCTAATAAACACACTGATGATGGCTCCAGGGACTGGGTCCCTAACACCAACATAAGGGCATTTTTTTTAATTCTAAGTCAGAGTGACATGGAGAGACACAGACACTCCATCCACTACTTCAGCCTCCAAATGCCCATGACACCTGGGGCTGGACCACACCAAAGCCAGGAACCCAGCACTCTATCAAGTTCTCCCACAATGGTGGCAGGAACCCAAGCACTTGTGCCATCATACACTGGATCCCAGGATGCTGGTCGGAAGCAGAGTTGCCAAGGTTTAAACCAGCACTCTACCATGGGGATGTGTGTATCAGTCTAAGAGGTGACTTAATCCAGTATGTCAAAATGCAAGCCCAAAGACATGGACTGAATTCCCAGCTCCCAGCATTGACTTGGAAACAGCCATGGCGGGCAGTCAAGATGTAAACAAGCGATTTGGAGCTCTCTCAATCTGACTCTCTCTTTCAAATAAGCAAAACACACAAATACACTTGGTTATCCCTTTCCAAGAGTTCTTTTTAAAAAGATTTCATTTCTGTATTCAAAAGGAAAGATGGAGAGGAAGGAAAAGGAGTGGGAAAGAGAGAATGGGAGAGAGAGAGAAAGGAGAGAGAGAGAAACTTCATCTTCCATCTGCTGGCTTGTTCCCCAAGTGTTTACAGTAGTTGGGACTGGGCGAGGCTGGAGCCTGGAACTACAGGCTGCTCTTCCATGTAGATGGCAGGACTCAGGCCCATGAGCTGTGATCCACTCCTTTCTCAGAAGCATCAGCATAGAGCTGGACCAGAAGTGGGTAATCCAGGACTCTAACATGGGTTGGTGTGTCACAAGCCGTGGCTTGACCTGCTGTGCTATGCCAGCCCTATTCCATGGTTCTGATGTACATATTTTTAACTATTCTTGCTTTACAGAGGTTTCCACCGAGCATGAAGCCTCAGGACACTAAGCCTGTAGCACCATAAAATGTAGAAAGCAAGGTAAGTGGACCATGCACAGAGCTGCCAACCAAATAGGGCTTTCATGAGGAAAAGGCACCAGAGAGCGCAGCTAGTCTTGACCTGCAGGATTCTTGCCGTCCTGGGCTCAGAATTGGTTCCATAAGGCTAATCCAAGTAAAGAAGCAATTTAGACAATGTTTCTCACCCTGCAAACATTGGAGTCATTGAAGCAGAACCATTCTCCATCCACAGAGTTCCGAATATAGGCACAGTAATGACCAAAGTTTGCCATTCCCATGTGTGCGATCACGGCAAAGAGTTCATACTGTCCTCCAACCCGGAAGGGCAGAAGGCATGGGATGGTTAACCTGTCATCTTCCTTGTCATCACACATGTATTCACAGCCTGCTCTCTGCCAGGCATCGCTACTGCAGAGGCAATAAAGCACAGTCCTTGGCCTCAGGAACCTTCCTAGCTAACCGAGAAACAATGGCTAAACCACAATTATAATGGTGTGTTTTGTACCAGATTCTGCAGAGGTTATCTGAAAAGTGTACATTTTTGCGCAGAATAGGAAAAGAACAAGAAGGCAAGGAAGGGCTGAGGGGCTGGAGGGATCTCCCAGAGAAGCAAAAGTTGGGCTGATCTGAAAAGACGGGGATATCATTTTTAATGTAGACTCAGAAACTGAAAGACTCAGTGGTGGAAAAGAACACAGCATACTGCACACACAGAAGGCTGTGAGGGTGCTCAGAAGTCACAAGAAAGCAAAATACAAAGGCCAAGTTAAAAATTCAAACTTCATTCCTTGAGTAATGGGGGCGGGGGGACAGAGTGTTTAAAGAAGAGGAGTGACATCATCATGATGTCTGTGTAAGAGAAACAAAAGAACGCAGCTTGGAAACTGGGTGCTGGGAATGGTGTCAGCATTCCACATGGGTGCTGATTTGAGTACCTGCTGCTATGTTTCTGATCCAGCCCCCTACTCATGCACTCGGGGGGAAAAGTACATGAGAGCTTCCACCCATTGCAGCCATTTGGGGATCTGCAATTGGAAGATTCTCTCTCATTCTCTCTTTTTCTCTCTCTGTATAACTCTTTCAAATAAATAAATACCTCTTGGCTTTCTGCTTGTGGACACTACCAAAGGAAGCATCGCCCTCTCTTCTCTTCACACTGCTGTTAGGTCAGAGCTTCCTGAAGAACCCAAACAGCCGCAGAATCTCTCCATCAGAGGGCTGAGCTGCCAAATGAGCCATTTTAAGCAGTGGGGAACACTCACAGACTGCGTGGGATGAGATCTGAACACCAAGCACTCCAGTGGCTGAAGGGTTGTCACCTACGCCACCATGGAGGCGTGGACACAGACATGAATGCAAGGCCATGCTAGTGGATGGAAGAGTGCTGGAACCAAAGAGGGCTGTCTCCAGAGAAAATTTTCCAAGACCCAGTGCCAATCTACCTG